AGAGAAGGTCAAATGAGACAATCCCTCTTCTCCAGGGATTAGAAAGAAGTTATCCAAAGCAGAAATCATTTTTTTTTCTTTGCTTGTGTTTCTGGGGAGCTAGACTGACCTATTACCGTGGAGTTTCTGGCTGGCCAAGCTACACTGTGAGTGCTGTCCCAGCAGCYTGTTGCTGAGTGGGTGTCATGGGGCCCTTCCAGTCCCTCTTGCAGARGAATGAATGTCTGCAGTGCCAGTAGGACAGGCACAGTATAAATAGCCGGCTTTCTCTGGCTCTTGTTGTGTCAGCCACATGCTGACTTTCCAATTGGCCCAGGCAATTTGTGGAGAGAGAATGGGCAGCAAGGGAATTATAACAGAGATGGGGCTGCCCAGCAGTGCTGTTAAGAGAATTGTCTCTTCTTCTCACATATGTCACAGGGCCTATGCTGGCACAGTCATTGTTTCTCTATCAAATAATATCTCTTCAATTTTCTTTTCCTTCTTGTCCKCTTTTATGACAGTCAAAACTTGTATATGCCAAAACATGTATCCTGGGTAGTTCATTGCTCAGATGATCCTAAAAGATATGTATCTAAAAGAGTACAGATAGCTATTATCCTCAGCCACCTCTAACCAGCCCTTCTTGATTCTCCTTGAATGTCCAAAGTGTTTGCATGACAGCAGCTGGCTCAGTTCTGGGACAGTTTGTAGCCTTTGAGGTAACAGCGGGCAGTTCTCACCTTATAGCCTTAGTGAAGGGCTCCTTCATCTGTGGGATATGGATGTTTCCCAACTGCCTGTCCCATGCTCCTGGTATAAAGACCACACAGTCAGAGCTTGGAGAGCCCTTGTGTGTGCTGCAGCTTCACCCCTGCAGCTGAGCATGGGGTGTTTGTGGTTTGTGTGGTGTGGATTCAGCTTAGTGTGGCCTGTATTAGGGCAGACATCACACAARGGCCAAGTCAAAGATGATTCCTTCGGGAGGAGCATACAGGCTCAGCAGTTCACACACTGGGAGGAGAAATGCCCGGTAGTACCTGCTGGAAGTGATTGGTGACTGTTTCAGGGACAGAGCTTGGTGCCCTTTGTCTGTTTTGTCAGTTACACTGTTCTGGGAACAATTCTCATTATTTCTGTGGAGTGTCCTCTCCTGCTTTTATCTGCACACATTGGACTGTGTTTGAATCAGTTGGTGGATGGCCCTGCTCTGGGGCACCATTCAAGATGTGCCTGACTTGGAGTCCACATCTTCCTCCAAGCAAGCTCCAGGCTCAGCTTTCATCCTGCTCCTGCCCTCCTATTGTCTTCCAGCATTTTCCTTAGCAGATRCTCCTTCCCTGCCTGGCACCGGTTGTACCTCCAGTGTCTGTCTTGTACATCACCCAGTTAGGGTTGTAAGCAAGAGGGGATGGATGGGGTTTTTCYAGCTCATCCTGATCTCCCTTGGTGTAATGAGGGGAGATCCCCAATAGATGGCACTTGAACCTCTTCCCTGGMTGTATTTTTGCCTCCAGCTCGGGATGGTCAGACTAGTATACGCACAGATGCAGCGTTTACCTGTTAAGGCACAGTGTGTGGAAAAAGGAGACCAAAGAGTGGTTCAGTGTGTAAGAATGGGCGAGCAGATCCCCAGGTGACTTCAAAGGGTGAAAAACACATCTCCTTCCTTTTGAGAAGGCTTGGCAGGCCTGCCTAATGAGGCCTTCTGCACCCACACACATTCCTGTTCTTGCACCTGGCAGTGTCAGTGGTACACCTTGGGCAGGATAAACTGCAAAAGGCATTAGCTTGTCCTCCRAGCACCACAGGAAACACAGCCCAGAGCAAATCTGTGCATTAGACTAATCCTCAGTGCATTGTCTTCACCCCTAGTGTCTGTCTCCCCTATTGCACTGTTTAGTCAGGATTACCACAAAGAAATGTCTCCAAACAAAAATAAGATGTGGCACAGCAGACATCCAGGATTGTCTTCCCCATGGCAGCAGCAGGCAGGAACATGTGGAAGTGAAGCAGTATCCTGCCTCAGCTCACTGCCCCCTGCCCAATTCCTATCATCTCAATTGTCCTTGTAGGGGAAACTTGCCACTCGCCTCCTTTCTGCTCCTGGTCTGGCCACAAGGAATTTAAAGAGATCATCAAGAAATGCTAAAGCAGTCGTGTGGGTTTACCCTATGTGTTGTGTGATGCATTTTTCATGCTTTGATCGTGTGACCAGAGGAAATTTGGACTAGGTTTGAGACTAAGATTTGGTTTGAAGCCAGTAGGCAGATCAAAACTCCAGGGGTGAGAAACCCACAGGAACCAAAAACAGAGCAGAGTGATCACATGAGATGCTTGGGAACAGAAACCACTGAATTTTGCATAGCTCCAGCAATGTGATCTAGTAACAGGCTAGATTACAGTCTGGGAGCATATGGCCAAGGGCCAAGAGGTACCACTTCTATTCTTGGATTTTCCACAGCTTTCCTCCATGACCTTCAGAAAGCCAAGTAACCTTCCTCTGACTTGGGTTTTTCCTTTGGGAATAATATTATTACTTAACCCTGGAAAATATTTTGCTGCCCTTGGATAGAAGTTACTCAGTGGCATTCTGCAACCAGTATGTGGAGGAGCAACACCTCCAGACATCTCAGGAAGCTTTCTTTCCAATATGTGATGCAGCAGTGTGACCTGTCATCTACTGGGAACATATTTAGCACATTGAGTCTCATCCTCAGGGCACAGATCACCTAAGACAAGGGTTRCAGCTCTGCTTTCTGTGAGGGTTTCTTTTCCTCTAGGGGGCTGCTAAATTGCTTGTCACTGGTTACAGCAGTGTGTCACCCTTATTCACAGGAGATGCTGGATGCTGTGAGTCAGTGGAGAGATTGTGACCTGTCATTCAGCTGCTCCTGGCATTGCAGTTGTGGASCAAGAGAGAGGCCATGGTACTTTACCAGGGTGAGGTGCGAGGTTAGCTGGGGAGAAACCTGARGGTATGAGAGCTCCTGAGCCTGCTGGAACACTGAGATGCTCATGGGTACAGAGTCTGAGAAAACACTGGAGAAAGTGTCCATAATTAGATTTCCAATAGAACTGGGTGTACSCAAAGGTGATGTTCCTGGACAAAATACAAATACAAAGCAAGAAAGAGACAGCCGTTCTGCAGGTATCTGCTGAAACACATGTAGGTAAAGGTTGCAGAAGAAGGATTTGCAGTATTTGTTTCTCTCACATTGCAAGTGCCCTGACAAAACTTCATCAGCACTTGCTTTTGCTGCTTGCCCTGGAAAGGCCTGGCCCTGCAGCAGGTTAGGAGGCTGAGCATGAATCCACCAGGCTGTGGWGCCCACTGCTGTCCTGTGCCCTAGTGGGGTGGTCTGAGCTCAGCTAGAGGCTGTGACATGTCATAGTTGGGATTGCAGGTTCTGCTCTTCTCTGTYTCAGGGAGCTTTTTCAGCTTCATCTATCCTGAAACAAACAACTGGGACCTGGCATGTGCCTGTCCCAGTGCTTGAACTCTGAATGGGAAAGCAATTATACAYAGTAGTTTAAGCTGACTGTCATTTATGGATCATCTCTTACAGACCATTACAAGGACAGCTGGTGTCTCCAGAGCTGGAATAAGGAATGAATAATGGCTTGGGGAATTTAGCTTTATATGGAAAAAAAAAAAAAGAAGAAAGTATAAGAGTGTCTCAGTTGTTGAACTTTGGCATATACGTTGGTTTATTGGTTGGAACCAGGAGTAATTCTTATCTAACATTAAATATAATATTGCATATCTATATGGAGAATTTCTGCTTTCAATTGGCATTGGTATCCTCCTGTTGAATGCAGGATGCCAGACTAGCAATCTGCTCATGTGCACCATTCCCTGGGGTTTTTTATTTTATTTATGCAATAAGAAAAGCAGAAGTACCTATAGCAATGTCTGGTGGCTTTAGAGTCATAAGATTGGATTGTGAGTTCAATTTGGTGTGAACTGGGGGAAAAATAGGTGAAAGCAAGTCCATGGTGTGAATGCGTAACTCACAGAGCAAGTATGGTTTAACAGCTGAGATAGTTTCCTACTGCAGACATCGTCTAAGAAAGCACTATCTGAAAAACAGAAATATTGTTTTCTGGCTCAGACTCTGTGCTTGTACTCCTTCAAGAAAAAAATACTTTGCTAAGTGGAGCTGAACCGAGGCCTTTCCCCTGCAGCGAAGATGTGCTCTCTCTTTTCCACAGTCAGCACTTTAGGAGTGCTCTTTCCTTATCTTGTTACAGGCCTGCTCGCTGAGAACTGGGAACCCATATGCTAACCAGCCTGTGCTCCTCTGGAATTTGTACACTRGCAGAGACCTCTGCAACGCTTCCTAGCTTGTCCCAGGAGGAAGATTGGGACAAAGGGCTCTGCTGGCCCCAAGGGACTGGTAACGGGCAAAAGGGACCTTTCACCTAAACACGGGGAGTTTATCGCTGGCATGGAGTTGGCAGTGGGTGAAAGCCTTTTGTTGTTACTGCTGGCAAACGTGTGGGCAGCTTCCTATGGGTTCAAAGGGGCTGGGAGCCTAATCAGCCAGTCGCTGATAACTTTCCTGACCCTTTTGCCAGAGAGGGGCTGGAGGACTGGCCATGGAAATGGGGCACCCTGCTTGTGCCCGAGGATAGCTGGTGCAGCAGGAGCTGCTGCCGGCCTGGCCCTTTTTGTGCAGAAAGGCTGCGGAGAGCTTCCCTGCTGCTGCTGCAGGCCCCTTGCAAACTCCCGGGGTGGCTCGGGGCACTCGAGACGGGACACACGAGCCTTCCCTATGGATCAGTGCATCGGAGGACAGAACAGACAGGTCACGTTATCCCGTTCGCCTCCCGGAGTGAGCGGGCTGCGAGCCAGGATGCGGTATCGCACAGGCAGCTCCCAGTCCGCTACATCCCGGGCAGAGCCCGCCCAGATCGGGGACCCAGGGAACACCGGCCGGGAAGGGCCGGTGACCCTTTAAGCGGAGTCCCCGCCCCGTCCCGCCCCGTCCCGCCCCGTCCCGCCCCRTCGGGCCAATGTGCGCCGGGGCTGSCGAGCCGCTCGGTACAAGTTTACCGTGGCGGCGGTGCCGGAGGGAGCTCGGGGCGGCAGCGCCCGGCGGCAGCAGCGGGGCCCGGTGCCCGATGCCCGCCTGGGGCTGACCGGGCGGGAGYGCTGCCATGAGCGGAGCCCGGCGCCTCGCCCAGGGAGCTCTGCCGTCCCGCAGTGAGCGCTCTGCGCYGAGTGTCTCTTGTTCCTTGCAGCAYGCTGCCAGCTGGTACCTCCCTCCTTGCTGAAGCGTAGCTGGGGAGGGGGTGGAAGGCAAAGGAAGTTTGGTGTTTAATTTTTTTTTTTCTTTAGAGTTTGTAGAGGGATTCCCTGTGCCTCCCAGCGCGGAGGGCTGCAGGACAGAGCGCGGTGGCGGAGGGGAGAGGGGCGCAGCTGGGAGCGGCTGTGCGGAGCCGTGCCCCCGCCGCCCCGTACCTGGGGTGCTGGATGCGAGCTCCGCGCAGCTCCGCCGAGCGTAGCGGCGCGGCAGATGCAGATGCGTGCGTGTGTGTGTGCTTAACCCTTTCTTGGCTTCTCGGATTTGTACCATGCTGAAGATCCTCACCAAAAAGCTCAGGAACCAGAGTTTGAACGAAATTCAGCCTTTCCAGCTAAAGGTAAGAAAAGCCTTTTTTTTTTTTTTTTTTCTCGGTTGTTTTTTGTCCCATTCAGGTAACTACTAAGGAGGCCTTGAGAAGATGGAAACTTGCAGTGTTTATTATGCTGGGTCAGTTTCCTCTCAGCCAATGCGCTCAGGAGGAACTGGCCTAGGCTGTATTCCTGTTACTTAAAAGTCCCGTTCCTTTGCACTCAGAATTACTCTGCACAATTCAGATAATACGGAAAGGTGTGTGAAGATAGATTTGTCTATTCTTTAGAATGTTTTCCTTTTGATGGGATTCACATTGAACTGTGATCACATTTGCCTAGATACCTTTGTACGTGTGCAATCTGTGGCCTTCCAGCCCTTGCCAGGCTAGAACCCCCCTGTGCTAGGTACTGTACAAACATAATTTACCTAAAATGCTTTTCAGCTCCTTATTTGCATTTCTCTGTCTTCTGGTCCTGAAGGCCAGAATCTGAGCTGAAGTTTGCAGACTGGATCATTGCATTGACCCATGGCTTTCCAGATCCTTCTCACATCCGTTTTTAATGTTTAAACTAAAATTCAGGACCACAGATTCAGGATAAGAACTGTCTAAGCCCTTCCTGCCAAATACAAAGAGGAATTTTTGAGCCATATACTATGGGATAAAAATGGAACTGTGACGAATGAGAAAAAAATACCAGATACTGATTTTGCAAAATTATTGGGAACCAAGGGATACCCCCTGAAATCAGCAGAGTTGCTCTGGATTGGTACCAGTACTGCTGGAAGTGTAGCACCTGGCCCCAAATCAAAGAAGGGATCTGGGAAAAGTAGCAGCCCTCGTTGCCTGAGTTGGGGGCTGGGGATTCGTATACCCGACTCTAGTGGAGTCTTTTGTATGTGTTACACAGAGGCTCATTGCTGTGTGGCTGCACTTCTGCGCAGTCACTCTGGACAGGCTGATGGCAACTTTGATGAAACATCAGCACTGTTTCTAACAAAGTTTGCTGTACTTCTTCCTCCAGGGATTGCACATTCTGTGGTTCTGGGGGGAGGCAGGTTTAGATTTTATTTTTGGAAGTAAAATAAGGGCAATGCTTCAGGTTGTAGTGGATTGATTTAGTGCAGAATATCTGCAGAGGCAGTAAGGGATTTTTTTTTTAACACTGTGTTCCTGGCCCTTATGGCTGCAATCTCCTGCTTTAGCTTTTTTGTTTGTCTCTTGGAGCCTCAGGTTGTGAAACCAATAGAATCTTTGGAAGGAGTTCTCAGAGGTAGATACAGCCTCCAGGATGCTTGCAGGCATGCAGGAAAATGTGCATGAGTGGGCATCTGCAGCCATTTTGTTCCTATCAGTGCCAAGGTTTGCTGCAGACAGGTGGTCTGCATTTTTGCAGGCTRAGTGGAGAAAGTTAAGCTTGCACTGTGCCTTGCTTGCAAGGCTAATGCATARCCCATCAGAGCTGCCCTTGCAGCCTGCAGTGGGGAGTGGTACAATGACTGGTACACATGTGTATGGGCAGAAAGCCAGGCTTGCAAACTCTGGGTTTAAATCTGTTTTGTAGGCCTTTGGGGACCATGTGCAGCTGCGTGGTCTTGGTTGAGCCTTGCAGCACCATAGTGATTGCTTAATGGAGTGTGCAGTGCTCTGTCTTACGTGTGGGACCAGAGCTCCTTGCAGGTATTGACCCCGGGGTAGGTGTCACAGCAGGTGAGCGGTGGCTGTGCTGTGCATGGACCCTGTGTCAAGGACAAATGTCCTGTACCATTTTGCTCTGCTGCTCTTATGTTGTGGGGCTGCCAGGCACTGACAAGACTTCTGCATTCTTGGYCTTGGACTGTATCTGTGCAGGTCTTTATGTATTCTGGCTTGTATGGTATGTACATTATTTAAAAGGTCCTGTGTCCTGACAKTGAAACCTAGTGAAAAGTTAGTTTGGTGTGAGCAGAGATTCAGATCTGTAATCCTTATAAGYAGAGAGCAAGCATTGGAAACAATAAGAATTGATCTGCATTCCTATCCCAACCAAGAGCTTTCTGAGCTTTAATAAAAGTGTGCTTAGCTGCTCTTCTCCTTCATTGTCCACTTGCTTTTGCACTTTATGACATTTGTAGGAAGTTCCCAAATTCAAGGAAAAGCAAGCTGCAGTTGTGCTTCTAGCTTACAACTGTATTACAATTAGTCAGAATCCCAGGAGACTGTTCTTGAGTAAATTGTCAACTCATTTTTACAAATTTGGAAGATTTGATCAACCTTGGATTGGCATCCAGTGGTGAGAATCTTTTTAGGATGAAATTTCTGCCCACTGTAAAGGTTTCAGGTTTTTTTATGATGAGTTCCAAATTGGTTTAGTGTGGCTGTGATAGTTCCTTCTAGTCTTTCCCCAGCTGAAGAAGCTGAGAGGATGCCATTGCCTCCTGTAAGTGAAACCAGGAAATGCGCAAGCTATGGGTTTTGATGTAATGGACTTCTCTTTTTCCATGCTAAGCTGGTCTTTAAGGATTGACAATTAGGGGTGCTCAGAGGACTCTGACTCAAGAGATGTGCTGGCGTCTCTYGGAAAGTGTCTTTTTATTTCCCTTTTGCCAGAAGTCACCGTGGTGGGAAGGGAGRGACTGACTGACACTTGACCTTATGTTGGGTTAGCGTGCTCAGCCAGCAGTTTGTGATAAGGGTGGCTGGGCTGTCAAGTGTGATAGTTAAGTTTCAAATTTGAAAAAAGCTGATGGTGCCATCTTCACAGAATCCCAGAGTGGTTAATGTTGGAAAGGACCACAGTGGATCCTCTGTTCCAAGGTCCCTGCTGAAGCTGGGTCATCCTAGAGCACTGGTACAGGATTGTGTCCAGACAGTTCTTGAATATCTCCAATGAGATAGATTCTGCAACCTCTCTGGGCCTGGTCAACCATGCAATAATGTTCTTCCTCATGTTCAGGTGTAATTTCCTATGCATCTTTTCTGGCCTCTTGCCCCTTGTTCTATTGCTCAGCGCTAGTGAAAAGAGCCTGGCTCCATCCTCTTGATACCCCCTGTTTAGGTATTTATATACATTGATGAGGTTCCCTCTCAGCTGTCTCTTCTCAAGGCTGAACAAGCCCAGCTCCCTCAGCCTTTCCTGATAAGAGAGATGTTCCGGTCCCTCAATCATCTCTGTTCCCCTCCGCTGGACCTGCTCCAGGGGCTCCATGTCTCTCTTGTCCTGAGGAGCCCAGAACTGGACACAGCACTCCGGATGAGGCCTCACCAGGGCTGAGCAGAGGGGCAGGATCAGCTCCCTTGAGCTGCTGGCAATGCTCTTCCTCATGCACCCCRTGGGCCCCCTTGGCCACAGGACACACTGCTGGCTCATGGACCGCTCTTTGTCCACCAGGATCCCCAGGACCTTCTCCCCAGAGCTGCTTTCCAGCAGCTGAGCCCCCAGCCTGTGCTGGTGCATGGGGTTATTATTCCCCAGGTGCAGCACCCTGCACTTCACTCTGAATTTCAGAAGGCTCCTCTGTGCCCATCTCTCCAAMCTGYYGAGGAYCTTCTGAAGATCTGCACAGCCCCCTGGGGAATTGGCCACTCCTCACAGCTTTATGTCATCAGTGAACTTGCTGAGGAGGCATCTGCTCCTTCATCTGAGGCATTGATGAATGRATTAAACAATATTAGGTCCAGTATTGAACCTTGGGGAAACCACTAGTGACAGGCCTCCACCCAGCCTGTGTGCCACTGATTATGACCCTCAGCCAGTTCTCAATCCACCTCACTATCCACTCATCCAGTCCACACTTCCTGAGTTTGCTTTTGGAGATATTGTGAGAGACGGGGTTAAAAGCCTTGCTGGAGTCAGTGTAGACAATACCCACTGCTCTCTCTTCATTCAACCACGTTTTTTCATTGTAGAAGACAAGTGGGTTTGCCAGGCATGACATTAGTAAATTCATGCTGACTATTCCATGTCATCTGTGTGGATAGACGTGGCCTCCAGAATGAGGCACTCCATCACATCAGTGATTGAGGTGAGGCAGACTGGCTGGTAGTTCCCTGAGTCCAAATTCTTGCCTTTTTTGAAGACATATTTGCTTTCTTCCAGTTCTCAGGCACCTCTCCTGATTGTCATAACCTTTCAAAGATGATCATGAATGGCCTAGCTATGGTATTTGCCAGCTCTCTCAACCTTTGTGGAAGCACCCCATCAAGGTGTAGGGACTTGTGGATGTCAAGATTTCCTAGGTGTCTTCCCACTGGACACTTGTACCCCCATAGCATGAGCAGCATGTCTGCTCCTGAGATCTTGTCGTTCATAACATGGCCCATTGGCTTAAGAGCTTCAGCTCTTCAACTTTCAGCGTCTGTGGCTAAATCCAAGAAAGAACAGGGAATTGCCTGGTGTCTCTGTCTTTGGTCTACCTCTTGCTTCAATGATCTGGTGTTACTTGGTAGAGATAAGGGCAGATTTGGGAACCTTTCTGGCTGCTTTTGAGCCAGAAGCAGATCTGACTTTACAGGTTATTTTTGATAACAGCTGGTGACTGGGTCTGTTCCAGAGCAGTTGGGACAGGAGAAAAGAGTGAGAACACATTGTAGTGAAATGCTTCAAACTAGGAAAGTGAAAGGAGCCTGTAACTCAAGGCCTGATTTTATTTTATTTTCTTCRTTAGTTTTCCAGTATTACAGTCTAGTACAGTTTTTTTATTATTTTCTKTCATGGTTTCGTACTGGTAGCCCTGAGAATCACTTTCTCAACTATAAGTCAGGCTGATCAAGGAACCTTCAAAATGCCTATCTTTGGCTTGCATGTGGGTTTGTGATGGAGTACTGATATTGAGCCCTTACAAGTATTCTCTAAACCAACACTGTTAGCTTTCTACAAATCAAATGTCTTGTTCATCCCCACAACTTGGGGTAGGGGCTTCTCACACAAATGTGTTTCTCTTGAGTTTCTCTTTAACTCTTGTGGCCTTGCTATTTATGTAGTGGCTAAAGCATGGGTGTCTGCTTTTTGAGCTTTGCTTGCAAACAAGATCCTTGGGGCAGGGAGC